AGCCCAGGACTCAGTTCCCCTTCTTTAGAATCCCAGAACCTTCTGTATAGACCGTGGTCCTGAGGGACAAGGACAATGATTAAGTCATAGAGACAGAAGGGACAACAATGCTTTTCAGGGGCTGGAAGGAAGGGCCAATGGGAATGTGTTTAATCCACACAGAGCTTCCAAATGAGCATTGTCTTACTTTTCCTGATACAGTATGAACAATGTCTTATTCACTCCAGATAGGGCACCAAGGACAGAGCAAAGTAACAATTTCCTCTACAAATTAATGAACCAATAAATTCGGGGGGCTTAGTTTTGGTTTGTTTTGGTTTGGTTTTGGTTTTTCGAGACAAGGTTTCTCTGTGTAGCCTTGGTTGTCCTGGACTCACTTTGTAGACCAGGCTGGCTTCAAACTCAGAGATCCACCTGCCTCTGCCTCCCAGAGTGCTGGGATTACAGGCGTGAGCCACTGTACCTGGCTTGGGCTTAATTGGTTTTTGTTTTGTTTTGTTTTGTTTTAGTGAGCAGTTACTTATGGGAGGAAGGGTTACTCAGCTCCATCACCAAAAGCCCTATCCAACTCACATAATGACTCAAGAAAGCTGTACCACTGAAGTCCCCATGCCCAGTCAACCCTCCACCTTCTTTCTATACACTCTAGTGCTTTCCAAGATCAATTGCATCTGGAGCAGAATTGCATGCAGCCGGGGCTACAGGTGTGTGACTGGAATCTGAGGCATGGACAGGTTGACCAGCCCTGCTTCCATATACACGCGCTTCTACCAGGGAATGTTAATAGGACCCATATTGCCAGGGTCTCCTGTTGGTAACCAGAGACTCGAAGGCTGTGTCATGCCTCTAGGTAACACAATTCCCTAACGAGGGTGTCTCAGTTTCTTATCCTATATGCTGTGATTAAATGCTCTGACAAAAGGAATTCAAGAGAGAGGGGGAGTATTGGAATCACAGTTTTGGGTTTCAGATTGGAGCTGGAAAGGACCGGTCACTTTACATCCACGGTCAAGAGCAAAGAGTGATGGATTAGAGCGTGCCAGCGTGCCCTATGAGTGCTCAGTTCACTCTTTTCATTCTGTCCGTGGAACGCTGCTGCCTGCCTGCCTTCTGGCAGTCATAATGACACTAAATCGTGCCCTTAGAAATGGCTGAAACTGGAGAACCACCTTTTCAACAATTAGAACCAGGAAAGCTGAGTATCCGTACAAATGAATGAGATTGGACCCATATTCTACAACACCTATGAAAATTAACCCAAAATGGACCAAAGACTAAATAAAAGCCAGAAAGATGGCTCAGCAAATAGAGGTGCTTGCTACCAAGCATGACAACCTGCGTTCAGTTCCTGAGAGCCGTATAGTTGAAGGAGAATAACTGACCTCCCTCATGTACTGTGGCACAGGTACCAGTGAAAACACACACACACACACACACACAAATATAAACGTAATTTCAAAAAACATAACATTGAATTTAGCAATAATTTCTTAGATACAAAGTAAAAAGTTCAAACAACAAAAGAGACAAATTAGACTATGTCAAAATTTGAAAATTCTGTGCCATCAAAGGACTCAGTCAACAGAGTGATAGATAATCTTCAGGATATAAAATAAATATTTTTAAATGATGCATTTAATAATGGGATATTGTCTGGAACATAAAAATAACCCAACCACAAAAATAAAAAGAAGCACTCTGGTTATCAGCAGGTTGGCTCAGCAGGCGAGGGTGCTTTCCGTGAATCCTAACAATTGGAGTTAGATCCCTGAAGCTCACGTAGTGGAGAGACCAGACTCCTGCAGATCGTCCTCTGACCTTTACACACACTGTGGTCCAGGCTCTAAAAACCAAGGAAAAGCAAAACAGAAAAACAGCTGCAAGGGTTGCTCTGAGTGTTGATATCTCTCCTGCAGTTTCTTCCTTCCCTTTTCCTCTCTTTAGAGTCCCATCCTACAACAGCCAATGAAATTATATGTTACCATTCACGGGTGACAAAGAAGCAAAAATCACGTAAAAGTCTCTGTCTCTCTGTACTCGGGATTCGGTTTTTGTTTTTAGGGGTAGAATGAGGGGGGAGGGTTGGTTGGTTGGTTTTGGTTTTTCTTTTTTATTGTTTTTTATTTTGTTTTGTTTTTTTTTTTTCAAGACAGGGTTTTTCTGTGTAGCCTTGGCTGTCCTGGACTCACTTTGTAGACAAGGCTAGTCTTGATCTCACAGAGATTTGCCTGCCTCTGGCTCCCCAAGTGCTGGGATTATAGGTGTATGCCACTGTGCCCAGCTTGGTTTTGTTTTTCAAGACAGGATTTCTTTGCATAACTCTGGCTGTCCTGGAACTCACTCTATAGACCAGGCTGGCCTCACATGAAGGGATCCACCTGCCTCTGCCTCCCAAGTGCTGAGATTAAAGGCATGTATACCACCATGGTTTGTTTTTATATTTGTGGCTTTTTTTTTCTCTCCTGAACATAAGTTTGGTCAAAAACTGCTAGCTCTGTCACAAGCTGTTTCCTTAAAGGAGCCTCCATGTCCTGTCTCTCTGTTCAGAATTCCATAACACAAATAGATGAAAAGAAAATAAAACAAAACCTGGCTTTAAAATGAAGAAGATGAATACACATTACCAACTATACACAAATTCACAAATTTTCTCACTACTATTAATTATTAGAAAAACAAATCACAATGAGATACCAACTCACAACTAAGATGGCTGCTATTAAAAAAGAGAAAAAAGAAAGAAAGGAAGGAGGGAAAATATTGGCAAAAGTGGGAAGAAATTGGAATCTATATATGTGGCTGTGGTGTTGTAAAATGGTACACCTGGAATCTATATACACTGCTCTAATGTAAAACGACAACCCTTTTTGGAAAATAGTCCTCAAACATTTAATTGCCAGGGGCTAGCGGGTAGTTCAGTGGTAGAACATAAACCAATGACTGGGTTTAATACCTAACACCCCACAAAATGTAATTATCCTATGATCCAGCAAGGTCCTTGAAAAGAAATGTGTGCCCATTGTAACCTGCTTAAATTCCATAGCCCCACTGTTGAGACCTACTTTGTTTCTTTGCATAACTATGGCACCTCTGTTAACACCTGCTATAGCCTTTAGCTTATCAGAAGCCATTTTGCCTCCAAGTGTCCATTTGGTTATATCTCTAAGGTTTCATTTCTCAAACTTTGTATAATTTGTTACCTAGATACTCTATGAAGTCCCCAAACTACAGAACCAATCAAATTAAAGGTCAATTTAGAAATGCTTTGTCTAGCTCGCCAAGGTGATGGAATGTCGCTTCCTACATCTGGACACCTGGTTGCATTTTTGTTACCAGGTTGTTACCTAGTTGCGGTTTGTTTCCTACACCTGGTTACAGTTTTGTTACCTGGTTGCTACTTGGTTACATTTTTTTTGTATAAAAAACCTGCCTTAGGGGCAGACCAATGTCACCTGGCTCCCGAGTCCAAATTAAGGCCCTGGCCAGTCAGTTCCTGTTTACAGTTCAATAAACATCTGTTGAGCTCAGTCTGTTGCCTGAACCCCTAACACTCATGTTCACAGCAGCATTGTGTACAATATTGGAGAGGGAGAAGCAACCTAGGTGTTGACAGATGAACGGACAGAGAAAGGATGGTGTACTGGGGAATGTTATCCAGTTGTAAACAGGGAGGAAGTTCTGATATGTTCTCAACATAAATGAAACTCGATGACATTATGGTTAAAATCAAGCCCACCTTGGGTTGGAGAGATGGCTCAGCAGTAAAGAGTACATGCTCCTCTTGAGGAAGAACTGGGGTTCCCTTCCCAGCACCCAGGTCAGGCAGTTCACAACCACCTATTACTCCAGTTCTAGGGGATCAGACACCCTCTTCTGGCTTCCACAAGCACCTTCCCTCATGAGCACAGACACACACAGAAAGAAACAATTAAAGATTTGTTTTTAAATGAAACAAGCTAGTCTCCAAAAGACAAACACCTTGACTTATTCTCCTTATGTGAGGTGCCTACAAGCGTCAAGTTCAGCAACAGAAAGTAGAATGGTGGTTGTCACTAGAGGAGGGAGAACCGCCATTTACTTAGTGAGATGTTTCAGTTGTGCAGCACGGATCTGGAGATTGGCTGCACAGCAATGCAAATGTACTTAACACTACTGGGTGTACTCCCTGAAGCCCGGTGGTGGCACATGCTTCTAATCCCAGCACTCGGGAGGCAGAGGCGGGTATGGATCTTTGTGAGTTCAAGGCCGGTTTGATCTACAGAATGAGTTCCAGGATCCAGGACAGTCAGGGCTATACAGAGAAACCCTGTCTCAAAACAAAACAAAAAACACAAAAAGGTGATTAAGATGAAAATGTTGGAAGCTGGAGAGATGGCTCAGTGGTTAAGAACACTGGCTGCTCTTCCAGATTGGACCTGAGTTCAATTCCCAGCTCCCACATGGCAGCTCACAACTGTCTGTAACTCCAGTTCCAGAGGACCTGGCACTCTCACACAGACATTGAGGCAGAACACCAATGCACATAAAAATAAATAAATCTTTTTTTTTTTTAAAAAGATGAAAAAGTTTATGTTATGTACACAGTACTGAAACTTTTTAATTGAAGCCAAGAAAAAAAAAAGTGAGAATTCAGGAGCCTCTTGAATTCCCTTCAGTCACTGCCTGGTCTGGGATTCTCAAAGTCCTGTCATGAATATTCATCTCTCACTCATCAGAATGTTTCCAGGCCTCACCCACACACTTGGAACCAGCAGACTGCAGAGAAACAAGGCCTTGGCTGTCTTGGTTCTAAGAGACCCACATGGAGCTCATTCCTGCACTGTGAACTAGGCCTTCACCAGCAAACACAGAGATCCTGAGGGGAAAGTGAACCACCCTTTGCTCTCCCTCCGAGGCATGGTGGGAGGAGACTAATGAAGACTTCGGACCTGGACACCTGACAGGCCATGCTGGATGAACTTGTCATGAAAGTTCAACCCAGAAGGTGGTACCTGCCAAGGCTGGACTTTCAGGAGCCATGGACAGTAGCTTCTCACTAGTAAAAGCCAGATACTAACAGTAAGAAACGAGAGAGAAAGAACAACTCAGTCAATCAATTAAGGAAGAATCCAAGGGCAGAGGAGCATCAAGGATAGGGAGGAAGCAGCCTTCAAGACGTTAGCGGACCTATGCTCAACCGCCATGATGTGAACGAACAACAAATTCCCGGAACAAACACATGTCTTTCTTTCGTCCCCGCAGAGGAGAAGGTTGGTATTGCTGTGCAGTATGAAAGTGCAGGTTTGGACACTGCTCATCTACCGTGTCACGGATGGCCCGAGGGGTTTTGAATCAGCCTCTATCCCACAGTAAAGCTGAGCAGAGAACCCCAGCAATGTTTTGTGCATAGCCTGAGCTCGGGTCAACAGGAACACGCTCTCCCAGAGGTGTGGGAGAGTGTGTTACCACATTGATTCCTCAGTTTCCCAAATTTGACTCTCTCCAGAAGCTCCATCTGAACGGTGTCTACTTCCTCGGCTGTCACCTGACCGAGCTGCTCAGGTCCTGGGAGACTCCATCGGAGACCTTCTCACTCATCCTCTGCAGCTTTTAGTTAGACTTGGGGTCATCTGTCCTGTGCCTGAGCATCATCGCACGAATACCCGAGTCCGAGTCTGAGCGCTGTCTCATCTGTGCTATTTACAGCCGAGGCTCCTCTGCGGTCTTCTGGAAAGCGTTGAGGCCACTCTGTAAAGCCTGGGCTTAGAGGGCCAGAGGACTGAGAACTCTATCCCAGCACCATCCTGCTTGTCTTCAGCCACGGCTTCTAGCCCACCTCATTTTCTTCGAGGCCTGTCTTTATCTTTATGTCCATCCGGCACCACCTGCTGTACCACCCTGCTAGGATGAACGCGCTGACCCTGGAGCCGTACCCTGCCCTTCAGAAGTGCTGTGAGAAAATGAGCACCATCCTCCCCTGGAAATTCACCCAATGTTATCCTGAGATACGCTTTATCACGGACGCGCTCAGGGTTATGAGGCAGCTGACGACCGTCTGCTTCACTTCTGACCTTGGATGTTACAAGTACCATGTGTCTGGAGACTGATTCGTTGTCTCTGTTGGCAGTAAATATGAAAAGATTGCCTCTGGGTCCTGGAAAGCTAAGATGCAGGACGTGTGACTTCATTCATCGTTCAGTGTGGGGGGAGGGGTGACACGGGGACTCGAATCAGGGGCCAGAAAGTAGACCCAGGAACAGTAAGAGCATGGGGACGGGGGCTTGTGGAAGCAGAAATACAGTTCTGGGGGACTGGAGAGACAGTTCAGTAGTTAAGAGCACCTGCTGCTCTTATAAAGGAGCCAAATCTCCAGCACCCACATGGTAGCTCACGGCCATCTGTAACTCCAGTTTTAGGGGTTTTGAACTCTGGGGGCACACACATACACACACACACACACGCATATGTTCATAAACAGAATACAACAGACATATGCATAATTTTAAAATATATGCATATATGCATAATGAAATATTTTAAAAAAATATGATTCTGGAGAGCTAAAGCGATGGCTCAGCAGTTAAGAGCATATACTCCTCTTGTAGAAAACCAGGGTTTGCTTCCCAGCAACCACATTGAGCAGTTCACAACAACCTATAACTCTGGCTTCGGGGAATCAGATGCCCTCTCTGGTACCTATGCTCACAAGCACATACCCACATACTCTCAAGCATACACACACAAACATACAATTAAAATAGGAAAATAAATCCTTTTTGTTTGCTTTTTTTTTTTTTTTTTTTTGAGACAGAGTCTCACTGGTAGACATGGCTGGCCTGGGAGCTTGCTTTGTAGACCTGGATGGCCTTGAACTCATAGTGATCTGCCTGCCTCTGCCTGGAAAGTTCTGTGATTAAAGGAAAGTGCCACCACTCCTTGCTGAAAATAAAATATTTTTTAAATGCATTTCGAATGTCAATCATTAATTAAGACAATGCCCTTCAGACCTGCCTACGAGTCCTATCTTGCGGACTTATTTTCTCAGTTGAGTTCCCTCCTGTCACATGACTCTACCGGTGTCAAGTTGACATAAAACTCGCCAGCACCCTGACTGAAAGTGTGACGTGACCAGCTCCCCACAGTTTCCCCACCATGATGGAGAGTATCCTTTCAAACGGTAAGACCAGAACATCTCTTCATCCTCTAAATTGTTTACTGGCAGGGATCTGGCCACTGTAACAAAAGCAGTGGCTCACTCTCCCTGCGTGGTTGTTGTGACATAGTGTTCAGAGCCTGGGAACCTAGGTGCTAATCCGTTAGTGTCCTCTGTGACCCTTACCTGGTTTCAGTTTAGAGATCAGGAAAGTTCTGTGATCTATAGAAAGGAAACAGCCCTGGGTGTTGTTGAGGCCCAAGAACCCATAGCATCGAAATCAACTGGAGCCATTTTAACCATCCCTTTCCATTCTTTGCTCCCATCCTGTGAGCTATATCCTCTGTGTGTGGTTGCTTGGTGGGTTAATGAGTACAAAGACGTCAGCTGAAAGTGAGAGACACAGACCTGCTGTCCAATAGGAAGGGTTTGTCTGAGAACAGCAGGAGGTTGCAATTTAGGAAAGCCAGGCCATAAGGGACCATAAGCACGTCATCAAAGAGGGCTGAGGTGAAGGCAAAAATGAAACGCCGAGCCACATTCTTGTATGGCCCTGTTCTGTGGGGCTTCCAAGTTTTGTTTGGTTATCCATAAACAAAAGCCTCCGACAGATGGACAATTGCTCTCCTGGTCTGTATCACAGCTTCTTAAACTTTATATACTTTTGACCCTATTTTCATGCAAGAAGTTTGTATGAGGCCCCAAGTATACAGATACGTAAAACAGGTTCACAAATCAAACCAATGATAAATCAGTAAAACCTAAACATTTATTTTAAAACAGTTATTTCTTATACATATAACCTAACTATTTATTAATAATTAATGCAACAGTTCATATTAATGAGATAAACTAGCTATTTATTTTTACATAAACAAATCTTGGCTGAAAATTTGTTTCTGCAGGTTATAAAGAGTCTTCAACATTTTTCAGAGTTGATCAATATTTTTATTTTAAGATCATCTATGCTGGGAAAGTTGCTTTGCATAAATACATAATACAAAATGGTAAAAGTGTCTTTGGGGCCATTTCAAAATATGATTGGAAATTCTATCCTAATCCCAAGTCAAATGCATTTAATGATTTTATGAAATTTAAGTCAATAATTCAAACGGCAATTTTAAAACCCAACCTTTCTAACACAATACAATCAATACAATTCAAAGAGATATCAATCTGATCCTTGCATGCTGGGGGATGACAGTGGAAAAATATTAGCAGTCTTGGCTTTCTGTAATTAAATTCTTCTGTTTCTATAAGAGCAGAAAACTTTGTATATACAATAAAACAAAACAAAACATACCGCGTCTTAGCATCCTGTAGGCTCTAATCTGAGCCTGGGTGTTTCAGGTAGTGTTGACTCACACTGCATGACACGACAAAACAAACAACACGAGTTACTCGTGTTGTATGTTCAGAACCAGGCTGAGCCAGTGAACCATTATGGTGTGTCTCCTCCTACGGGACCCTGGGATTGAACTCAGATCTTCACACCTGCTTTACCAGTGAGCAGCCTCGCCGGCCCAGTGTTCCTTTACAATTTGTTTTTTTCTACATGTTGCAATAAAATAGCTTTGGATGAGGAAAAAAAAATGTGAAAATTTGAGAATAGATAAATAAATAAGGCAAGCCCAGTTAAAAAAAAATACAGAAAGTTAAAACAGTAAGCTCTGTGCTAGATGTACTTATGGCAGCTGGAGGCGGGCAACAAAACCAAACCCCGTGTCCTTAGAGAGACGCGGGCATGGGGCAGGCTCTGCCGCTCACGATCCAGATGACTGGAGAAATTCCGTGACTTCGCATCCTCCTTCTGAGGATATGATATGAGTTGGGAATGTTGCATGGGCTTGTGTTGAAGAGTCCGTGAGCCCACACGTGCAGGGCATCTCACAGAACTGCATTGGCGACAGTGCTCTTTAACACTTGTTTTCCACAGTGTAGCAGGTTTTCATAAGGTGTCCAAATTCCCACCATGCTAATCCCTGAATCCAAACACATGTATGTACACACACACACACACACACACACACACACACACACACGAGAGAGAGAGAGAGACAGAGACAGAGACAAAGACAGAGAGAGAAACAGAGACTCAAGACAAAGACCAAATCTAGTTGATTGATCCTATCACCCAGGGCCTAGCACATAGTAGGAGCTTATTAACGGTTTGAAATACAGTGTTTGACAGTGCAGGAAAGAAACTTCCTCAGCATTATGGGCAAAGAGCAGAGCAAACCGATCAAGTAATCTTGCAAACAAAAGGGAATTCTCGGCCGGCAGACGCTTCCCGAAACCGGGGTGCGTGAAAACATCTCAGGGCAGAGCCCTGTCAGCTGCCTGCCCCTCTAAGGCAGGCCTGAGGACAGTGTGGTTGGGTACTGGGTAATTAGTAATTCACTATTGGACATTGATTGGACATTCATCATAGACCATTTGCGGGGCATCCATCTGACATTCCATTAAGAAGACATCACATTGCAGGGCCCAGTCCTCAAGCTGGCAAATGGAGTTGAGAACTGTCCCCTCTGCCCTTGATCTCCAACTCTCCTGGCTTTGCTCCCCCCCCCCCCGCCCCGCGCCCCTTCCAAACCAAGTATCCTGCCTCCTGCTGAGACAGCAGCTCTCAACCTTCTTGATACTGTGACCCTTTAATACAGTTCCTCATGGGGTGGTGACCCCCAAGCATAAAATTATTCTCATTGCTACTCCAAAACTGTAATTTTGCTGCTGTTATGAGTCATACTGTAAATATCTTGTATGCAGGATATCTGACAGGCCGTTCCTGTGAAAGGGTCATGGCCTACGGGTTGAGAACTGCTAGGAGACTGCCTAAGCCAGTATTCCCTTCCAGGCCATTCTTTAGCTTTCAGTTAGAAGACAGTCTTCCCATGTGGCTAGAGTTCCCCAAATGCTACCCAGTCGTCACTCTTTAACTGGGCATTGTGGGACGATTAGAAGTCTGTCTGCAGCATCTAAGGAGCCGAGTGCCTCTGCCTAGCTCCTGACTGCATCTGTCTTGAGAGCTATTTCCACACTGCATCTGTATTCCTTCAATTTTTCTATTCCCAGAAGTTCCCTCTCTGAGAGCTTTACCCACAAGGCCTCTGGTCCTATCTAGCTCATTAAAAAAAAAAAAAAAAAAAAAAAAAGCCACTGTCTTGCTAAAGCTAAATCTAGAATTGACCTTAGAAGACACCGTTTTCCTCCTTAATAATAACATTTGCATTACTAAAAACTTCAGCGTATTTAAAGCCATGTGTCAGAATTTAAGACGTCAATGTATCCTCTACTTGTGGGGTCACTCTTCTGTTATAGTTACATGTAAATGACTCAGCATCTCCCCCTGGCTATGATGTGAAACCCAATATCCTGCCCCCACTAAATACCTCAGGAGAGTCTTGGCATCCTCAGAGATGGGCTCTTGGGGGGGGGGCTTTCAGAAGTGGGATGCAGGTCCCTCGGCCTTTGAATCACTGATGTCTTGTACAGATGCAGAACGGCTCTCCCTGGCACCTGCGTTCATCTATCCTGTCCTGACACAAGCAACCATTCAAACCAAAAGGTTCACACTAACTCCCAAAGTCAGTGGAATAGAACCGTTATACACTCTCAGTTGGGAAGGTATAATAAGACAAGAGCTAACTGATGTGGAAAATGTTCTTGAAGTAAGTGTGTGTATGTATGTGTGTGTATGCATGTGTGTGTTTGTGTTTGAGAGATCAGCAGCTATGTGTGTGTGCATCTATGTCCGTGTGTACATGTGTGGGTGTAGATATATGTGTTTGTTTAAGCTGTGTAGGTCTTGGTGTGAGTCAAGATACTGGTTTGTATTTGGTAAATCTCAAAGGCCATGTCACTGAGGTGTGGACACCTTGACACAAACTCATCTAATCGGCCTCTTTTGTTCATGACTTGGTCCTTGGAGGAAGTGTCACACCTGACACAGGGAATATTTGCAAGCAGGTTACCACGTCTGGGCAGCAGAGCCTCCAGTGTCTTCCCCGGGCAGTTCTTTGTCGTGACCTTGGCTGCAACTTCCTGTCTAAGTTTTTAAGACTAGTTCTCCAAGTTTCCTGTGGTGCTTACATTTCTAGAACGGGCACACAAATATACATTATCCTCAAGGAGTGAGGCTTAACTCACCTTCTCCATCAAAATGAGCTAGACTTAGCGGCTCATACTCCTGTGTGGAATACAGTTACACCTTGGTGTGTGACCTGGGAGACTACGTCAGCAGGCGTAGTCCATGCCCCCTGTGTCTTCAGCACTAGCCACTCTGGAGGAAGCCAACTGTTGTGTCACAAGGAACATTCATCTACAGGAGAAAGAACCTCCCCACCCCCACCCACCCACAAGGGAACGTGCCATCTTGGAAATGCTCCTCCAGCCCCAAACTTCAAAAGGTCAAACCCACCTAACACCACAAGGACAGACTCCTAAGGGCCCTCAAACCAGAACTGCGCGGCTGGTTCTGTGCAGAAATTGGGATTACAAACGTGTTACATTTACCCTCTAAATGTTGGGTACTTTGTTGTGAAGCACAAATAGTTAATGTACTTCTGGATTCTATGAGCCACTGAGAGCTTTCCGGTGAATTCCTTCTCTGCTGAAGTTTGCTGGTTATTCGCAAGCACAACCTTTCGCTTCTTCTTATCACCTCTCTTTCTGCTCAAGGTCTCACCCATAGGACCACCTCTCACCTCCGAATCAGGTAGGGCAGGCCCAGGCTCCTTACCTCGCCTCCACCTCTGGAGGCTTCACCTTTCTCATGGAGCAGACAGCCTAGTTCCTTCCTCGGCTGTAAAGGCATCCTCACCAAGCTCTTGCAGCCTGACCTGGCAGTACATCGCTTCAACCCTCCTCTCCAGGGACCTCGCCATCTGTCCTCCTCCCCTCATCATTGACTCACTGGTCCCTTGGGGGATTCTCATAATCCAAGTGAGCTAAATCACCTTGTCTCTGTCCCCCGAGACCCGTCCTTTCTTGCTCTGTCTGCCCTTTCTGAACACCGTTCCCCACGATTGGATCGCCTCCAGGAAGGCCTCCTTCCTCCATTTCCTCTGTTCTGCCCTCCTGGAACTGTCTGCTCTGTCTCTACTCAGGTAAGTCATTCCCTCACTTCCTAAATTAAGCTGCCTGCCTTTCACCGTTTCTTCCTTTATGCTTTCCCAGAGCTGCCTTGGCCTCAGAGGCTACAGCTCTCACTCACCAGGCTTTCTGCCTTTCTTGGCTCGAACACAGAGCCACATTCCTTCCTGCTTAGCCCCTCTAATTAGCTCTGTCACTGCAGCCTCAGCTCGCTTCATTCCTTACTTTTCTCCATCTATTAATGGCTCCATCCTTCTGGAGGCAGGCTCAGATTCCCAGCCATCTCTGACAGTCTGTCCCCGACACCCCTACTCTCCTCAATGGCAGAGCCCTGCCAATTCCTTATCCTCAGGAACCCCCACTTCCCTTTGCAGTCTCTTGGGCCCTGTCACCTCTAACCCTGACCTCAGTGGGTGCCTCTTTGTTATGGTGTCCCCTTTCTGTGCTCTCTCAACTCATCTCCCCCACATACAAGCTTCTAAGCAGTATTCTTAAGCAATAGTCGCCATCCTTATGCCTCGCTTAAGAACCTTCCATTATATTCAAGAGTTGTTGGGTTCCTACTGCACCTGTATTATTTATGATTCTTTGCATACAACCTATTGAGACCAACTTATGCCAATTTAAACTGAAAAGGAGGAGTGGATTACGCGCATGTAGGGATGGCTCCTAGGTTTCAAGGGCAGGAAAGCAGCCAAGCCTTAGGACCCAGTGCTCTCAGACTCCATGGCAAGCTACTGTGCTCTCTCTCTCTCTCTCTCTCTCTCTCTCTTTCCTACTTTGTTCAAACACATTCCCTGCATCTTCTACTGCAGAACCAGCTCTTTCTGGTACTCAGTTTCTTGCAGAGAGAGCACTCCTTATAGAGGCTGAGAAGAGACCTCTCAGGAGAGCACCACAAATGGGGCGAGAGTCCTTCAGACCCAGCTCCCAATGTGTATACATGTGTTCTAGTCTAGAATCTTGTATCTGTAAATGATGGGAAGCCAAGGAAAGGGATTTGTGAGCTCTACAAACAAGCTTTGGGAAGGGTTGGGTTGGGATAAACTCTCCTGGTTAGAAAGTGACAGGGACCAGACATCATTCATCTCTCCGTCGCTCATCTCTGACTATCCTTTCTCTAAACAGATCTTTCCCTCCTATGTGTCAAAGGCTGTCTGATAAATGTGGCCAGCCAAGATTGCCTCTTCTCTCTCAGATTCATATTCTGAATTTTGTTTCTATATTTTATTTATTTGGGAGAGTATGAGTGTGAGGTCAGAAGACAAATTCCTTTCACTATGTAGGTCCCAGGGATGGAACTCGGGCCAATGGGCTGGGCAATCACCCTGGCCTCCAAATTCATATCTTAAAAAAATCCTAGAGAGCGACTCGAATTGATGTAGCTTAGGACCTGTCTTCAGCCGTCCGACAGGTGGGAGGACCGTTAGACGTGACAGTGCGTGGACTCCATCTCCAGGCAGATGACCTGGGCCTAAATCTGGGCTCTCTTGCTCATTGGCCGTGTGACTCTTGACACCAAGTCTCGGTTTCTAAATCTGTAAAGTAGGGACAGAAAGGATCCACCTCGGGGATTATTAGAAAGGTTCATTTTAGAGTGTTTAGTATGGTGCTTGGCACAAAGAAAGGCTCCATAAGCATGCCCATGACAAAGACAACGGTGGCAGTGATGATAACCATAGGGGGAGGGGGAGGAGGGAAAGAAAAGCAGCACTTATTAGTCTTGTTATTTTTAACTGTATGTGTACGGGTGTTTTGCCTGCATGTGTGTCTAGACACCACGTGTGTGCCTGGTACCCATGGAGGTCAGAAGAGGGCATCAGATTCCCTGGAACTGAAATTACCGATGGTTGTGAGCCACAGGGTGAGTGCTGAGAACTGAGCCCAGGTCCTCGGGAAAAGCAGCCAGCCAGTACTCATTGGGCAATTTCTCCAGTCCCTAAGAACTGCCCATCTTGAACCACATGCTTGACATGCGGTTCATAAGAGAAGATTTACTAATTTCTTAGGTTTTCTATAACAAAAATTATGTCACAGTTTTTGAGGCCAGCCACGTGAAGCCAAGATGTCAGCAAGGCTAGTTCCTAGCTTCTGATAGCCTTGGCTTATAGATGTGTCTCCCTTTCGATTTTACATCCTTTTGTCTTGGCCTGTGTCTGTTTCAGTGTCCAGATGTCCCCTTTTTATAAGGCCACCAGTCATATGACCTAATCTTAACTGGTCACCTGCAAAGACCAAGTAAGACTACAGTCATGGGTGTTAAGGGTTATGATATCACCATTGTCTGAGTAGTAAATGTCCTCCATTTCTAATTCCTAGGGCTAAACAGAGTGGTCAGTCTAGCTCAGTTCAGTTGCTCATCCCTAATTCTTTCAACAGTGGCTGAGGAGCGCAAAATAATAACAGGTGCCAATGATCATGTGTCAGAAAGTGCTGGGATATTGGCAAACCTGCTGGATGGACACTTTTGGCACTGTCGGCTCCAGTGTACAGAATGCTGACAGCTCCCCGGTAGGTTCTTACAGATGACTGGGAAGGTTCTCAGGTTCTCGTCATGTGCTGAGACGGAAATTTCCCCCCACGAACATACTAATGGCAAAGCAGATCCTTTAGGACATGTGGTCTGGGGGGAGCCAGCCAAGGTACTATGGGACCTGGAGAGAGGGTGGGAGTGGCCTAAAAGAGCGTTTCTGTGGAAGGGACAGGAGCTCAGCTTCGAGAAAGGGGGGTTATTTGGGTGCGTTAAGAAGATGTAGCAAGGGGGAGAAGAAGGTGACCCGTGGTCCCAGAGTGGTGAGGGAGCAGTGTCTCTGTAGTGAAATGAAAAGGAGAAACCATCTAAGAGCTGTTGGCTGCCAGGCACCTGTGTTGGAGACTGGGTATGTACCATTTCTGCTGTCTTTACCACACATCTCAGTACATAAGCTTCGGTGGACACGGAGGAGTTTTCGTTCCACGCGGAGGCAAGATGTCGCAGGACACCGAGGGAGGAAAGATGCTCGCTGCCTCCCCTCGCTAAGTTCCTGGGATTTACCTGGGAGAGACTGCGAGGGTGCAGTTGGAAGCCAAGTGCACAAATGACCTTTAAAGGTGCCCGTGCAGGTGGGAGTGTGCGATGGGCCTCTGGGGTGGGGGGATGAGCTCTCCCTGCACAGCTTTAAAGACCTCAGCTCTCTACCAGGGAGCTTTTCAGGATCAGACTCAGCAGAGATTGGTTATTAACCCTTTGTTGCCCAGGGTCTGTGGCTAGGAGCAGGCCGGGAATGGATTTCGGCTTTCCAAATGCTGAACGTGCTGCCTTTGTGGCAATCGATTATTGCATTTCTTCCTCCTGCCCCCCCACCCCCCCACATTTCCAGCAGTCTCAGCATAAGATTTCCCCTCCCTTGCAACCAGGCCAACTGCCAGGAGGCAGGGAAGGGCCCTGCTTGCTGCTAGGTGGTTCAACTATGGGCTCCTAGAATTCGAGAGAGCTGCTAATTCTTCCTCGTCTTCTCTCCTGCGGACACAGTTTCTCGTAGGCAACTCCTGTGCTTCCCAGGCTCCGGGGAAGAAGCATGGCAAGTGGAAACCAGTGTTTTCTGGACATCAGAATCCTGCTTCAAAGCACAGGATCACTGAGAAGAGTATGGTGGCTGGAGACGCAGAGCAGAAGTCCTGGACTCGGGCCCACCTTTTATTAGCCTGGATCCTGTTGCTGTGCCTGTACCTCTTGGTGCTTCCACTTCTCCATCTGTAAAGCAGTAATAACCCTGACCTAACTCACCTCAAGAGGGACAGGTCTGGAGGCTTTAGATCTGCAGCCTGCTGTACGGAGGGGGATGGGCTAGGTGATTTGTTCATGCCTTTATTTTGTTTTGAGGCTGGATTTCACTTATGTAGCCTTGGCTGTCCTGGAACTCTCTATGTAGCCCAGGCTGCCCTAGAATTTACAGAGATCTGCCTGCCTCTGCTGAGCTGGAATTAAATATGTATGTCATCACACCTAGCATGATACAATGCCACACACAGATACTCCTCTACTTACTGTCAGAACCCGAGCAACTAACCATAAACTGAGATTTTGTGATGGGGCTGCAGGGAGGGTGCAAGGAGCAAGAGCACCCCCTGTGAAGACCTGAGGACCTGAGTTTGAATCTCTAGTACCTGCTTATAAAAGCTAAGCACGGCTGTGGGTGCCTGTAACCTCAGCATTGAGGGTAGAGACACAGAGAGATGGACCCTGGGACTTTTCTGACCAACCAGCTTAGTCAAAACAACAACCTTTCCATTCAGTTTGAGACCCTGTCTGGAGCTTCCCATCCAGTGAGGGACTCTGTCCCACGGGAATAAGACAGCATGTGATAGAGGGAGCCGACCAATGTTTTCCTCCAGTCTCTGCAGGAGTATGTGCAGACATTTCCATCTGTACACTCATGTGTGACACCCATATCCCTATACTACACACAAACACACACACACACACACACACAGAGAGAGAGAGAGAGAGAGAGAGAGAGAGAGGCGCATGATAAGTGAAGATACAGTATATGCCTCCTTTCAAGACCATGAGGCCTAATGGGAGCTGTCACTGCTGCCTGGCCTCACAAGGGAGCACAACACTACATCTTGCTCCAAAGTTTCCTGTCTCCTGAAGGCATGTTGCCTTCATGCCACGGTAAAGTTCGAAACTCCCAAGTCAGACCATCGCAAGTCAAAGCCATCGCTACCACTCTCTGAAAAATAAAAACCATAAGAGCAGCACAAGGCTAGGCGTGGTGCAACTCAGGGCATAGAGACAAGAGCGCGGAGAGTTAAAGGCCAGCCTGGGCTGAGGAGCGAAACTCTGAGAAACAAACAAGCTGGGGCCAGAGAGACGGCTCAGTGGGTAAAATTGCTTGCCATTCTTGCAGAGGACCTGGATTCAGTTCCCAGCACCTACACGGTGGCTCACAACCATCCAACCATCTGCAATTCCAGTTTCAAGGGATCTGGTGTCCTTTTCTGGCCTCCACAGGCATTAGACATGCAGGTGACGCACAGACATATATGCTGGCAAAACACTTATAAAAATTAAATAACACTTATAAAGATTAACTAACATAACGCTCTTGTCACTCAAACATAACGCATCTCTTTCAGGTATCCAGTCTTCACTCAGCATCTTGAAGAACTTTTCCTCCTAGCACAAATAAACTCTTTTAAGTGGCTGCCTGATACCCTACAACAGTAATTCTCAACTTGCGGGCTGTGGCCCCTCTGGCAAACCTCTGCCTCCAAAACTATTTACATTACCATTCACAATAGTAGCAAGATTACGGTTAAGAGAAGTAGCAACAGAAATAATTTTATGCTTGGGGGTCACCACAACATGAGGAACTGTATTAAAGGGCTTAGCAAATCCCTTCCAGGTGGATATTTGAGATTGCCTTTATGGTGAGTCCCAGGGAGACAGGCAGCGCAGAGCCCTTCGTCACCCCTGATGTCAAGCACCTCCTCATTGGTCGGTTTAGTAATCCTCAGACCTCCAGACTCTGAGACTGTGGGAGCCGGATGTAGCAGGCATTTCTGGCCTCAGGATGGGAGGAGCAGGCCCGGAGCACAGGAAGCTCAGAAGGAAACAAATCTAGGGAAGTCATCATGGGGCTTTGTGTCTTGAAATCGGCCGGGCTGACTGCCTCTCGAGGAGTGTTCAACCTGTGCCCCACAGAATCACCTGGGGACCGTCTCCAATCTCAGAGCCAGACCGCGCTCCGGGTCCATCTAATTAAAGCAGGATCTCTTGGGGCAGCCCTTGGTCTCAGCCGGCTGACAGAATTGCAGTTATTCTCTTGTACAGCCACAAGAAACCACAGCACAGAAGCTTGGAAGTAATAACAGCACGACCAGCCTGCGGCCCTTTATATTCTTCTTTTGTTCCGCCCTATGAGAGAGAGGTCTGATGTCCCCGCGGCCTACAAGCCCGATATTTAACTACCCTGGTGTGTACACGGAGCAGTTCTTATTTAAGTCCTGGCTAAGTTTTTATTTGGTCACCTTTTTTGACTCTTATTCAAAATTGTTTATGTAAATTGGTAAGAAGCTTTTAGCAGGCAATTTGGCAATTTGTTTCAAGAGCTGTAAAATGGCTCAGAATTATTGGCTCAGATATTCCATTTTTGGACGCGATCCTAAAGAAATAACATAAGTATGGAGAAAACACAATGTAAGATGTTCATTGTTCCACTATTTATGTTAATTGAAAATTGGAGAAATCTAATGTCTAATGATAATAGGAGTGGCTCTTCTGTGATACCTCTATTTGGAAGCATAAGTAACCATAAATACTATAGCCACGAAGACAAAGTAATAACATGGAAAATGCTTGTGCTATAAACTTAAATGAAAATCCAGGACCCAAGACTGTGTGGATACAGTATAATCTCAAGTACATTCAGGAAAAAAAAATAAAAAATTATATATATATATATATATATATATATATATATATATATATATACACACACACACACACACACACACACACATATACATATGAAAAAAAAATAAGGAAAAGAGCTAAATGTTCCAGGCAGTGGTGGCACACACCTTTAATCCCAGCAGAGGCAGGTAGACCTCTGTGAGTTCGAAGCCAGCCTGGTCTACAGATCGAATACAGGACAGCCACAGCTACAAAGTGAGACCCTGTCTCAAAAAACAACAAAACAAAACAAACAAACAAAAGAGATAAATTCTCTCATAGATTATTCTAGGATAAGATTTTTTTCTCTCTCTTACTTTTAAAGTTTTTATAATATAATGGTACAACTAATTAGATGGAAATAAAGAGTGGGAAAAAAAGGCCTTGTGTATCTTCTTGTACGTCTGTCTCAGACTGGGGCACCTCAATGATGTTAAGATTACCATATACAGTACTGAGGCCACTGTCTGGCTCCCCGTGTCTCAGGCTGCCCACAACAAGCCTGGTATGGATCCTAAGTTAGACCTGACTGCAGCTTCTGTCCTACCTTCATCACATGGCATCACACAATTCCTTCCTCCTTACCTTGCTTTTCTATTTTCCTTTAATGATACTGGGGACTTGCATAGGTAGCAAGGGTGTTCTACCACTGAGATACAGCTCTGACCTTTGTCCTCCCTTTTAGGGGGGGAGGTAGGGGAAGGGTTCTTGAAACAGTCTCACATGTAGCCTGGGCTGGCCTGGAACTCCCTATGTTAACCAGACTGACCTCGGATTCACAGCTGTCCCCTGACTGTGCCCGCTGCATGCTGGGATTACAGGTGTGAGCCTCTATGGCAGGCTTACACCTCCTTTCTGAACCTTGCTTTCCTCGTTTGAGACAGCCAGGTGGAAATGCCAGACCCTTCCAGTGCTGACATAGGAGGCCGTGTTATTGACGCTGCCAGTGATGAACTCCCAGTGCATTCAGCTCCATCGCCGGGGAGACTGAGGCCGTGCCTCCCCGCTGTGCCTGTGTGTGGACAGCTGCCCCTCATTCCTCCATTCAGAGCTGCTGCATCTCCTGTAAATCCCGGACTGCACAACTGAATGAGTGTAAGGCGAAACACGCACCTCCCTGCAGCATTTGCTAACTCCTTTCCACGTCCCTTGCACGCAGTCCTCATGGCTTGTCAACTAAGTGCCTCTGAAATATGCAGGAGGGCCACTAGAAGCCAAACAGGAAACCCGGCTCCACCCCCACCCGGAACGTCTCATCTTGATAAAGTGATTTTCCTCAACAGGCAGAGGACGAGGAGTCATAAATCAGTGACAGCACAGCTCCTTGGGGTCTGAGCAGCCCTCTGCTAGGGAGAGGTGGCTCTTCTGAGGTGTGGATGCTACAGCCCCGGGGCTAGAGAATTACAGGGGTGGGGGGGGGAGAGGGGAGGCCTGGGTGGGGAGAAGCGGGATAGCTCTGGTGGGAAGGAAAATTGAAACCCCAGGGTTTAAAGAGAGCAATAAAAGTGATGATGGGAAGCTGAAGTCTACAGATCCACCGTGAGGGCCTCAGTCATCTGGCAGGAGGCAGAGAGCTGCTAGGATTAGTACATTTTCCACATGGCTGAAGTTTAACTGTTGATGTGCGGGGGACCTGACCTTTTCAACCTATTAAAATGCATTTTCATCTTCATAAGTGTCTATGCGGGATGTAATTCGGTCCTTCAGGGAAAGGAACCAAAAGATCGCTCATTATATATTTATTTGAGTGATTATTTGTGCAACGCTGCTATTCCCCACTGCACTGTGTGTTCAGTGAGCCCCTCCAACTTGTCCAAGGAGGCGCATGATGAGCGAGGAGAGGCCCCCAGCTATAACGCACTGGGTTTGTTTGATCAGAAACAATTTGCTAAGCTACACAGAAACGGAGCTGCCCCCGAGGGCTGCAGTATTGGGTGTGGGGAGTTGCAAGGCTGCAGATTGATTGGTCCACCAGGTTAGAGCTTGGGAAACCCAGGAATCATCACCTCACCTCTACTTTGGACTCTTACTGCCTCTCATGGCTGGTCATGGTTTCCCGCTCGGCAGAACAGAGCTGACTTCATCCTTCTGCCTGCTGGTCCTGGAAAAAGGCTGCCCTTTTCCCCCTGTTGTTCCTGTCTCTGGACTTCCGAGGGCAGGACTCCAGTCTGGCTAAGTTAGCACCTGAAGGACTGTGGAGGTGGAGCGGAAGGAGTCCCTTTCACATCCCACCGCCTTGAGAGGCAGATGGGCCGCTGCAGATAGAGAAGCAGGAAGAGGAAGGCGCTTGTATGGATGGAGAAGGGAGGCAGGAGCAGTGGGTAAGTGGGCCTTGGTGTGGCACAGGAGTCGGCCTCTGCAGTGGCAGCCGTGTCTTGCTTGGCACTGCAGTAATGGCATCAGACAGGACGGCCCATGAGACTGAGTGATCGGTGACCCCAGGAAATGCCTGTAAATTGCTCTCTTGGAAAAGCCCCAAAGTCAGCTTGGGTTTGGCTCTGTGTTTTTCTCCAGCATGGCTGGGTGAAGGTCACGGCCTGCCTGCTCTTGGGGGCAGTGTTCGGCAGGTTGCCTTTCTGCAAAATTAATCAGCGAATCAAAGGTCAGAGCTGCCTTATCTCTGGCAATTGCTGCTCTTCCAAAGGAGCTTTTGCTTCTCCACTGTGGCAGTGGGTGTTTTAACTCTTCCACGGCCTCGGAACCCACATCAGTTATTGCTGCGCCTCTGCCCCTGGTGACTAGACTAGGAGCCCCTGTGCCTACAAAAGCACCGGGTCTGTGTTTCTTCTGCTGTTAACCAGGATGCTGTGCAGATGTATTTTGAGCCAATTTAGCATCTCTTCCTCAGCAAGGGACATGTTTCTTCACACACGCTACGGGACATGATTTCCTCCAGTTCTTTTAAGTTTTTGACCTTGAACGACCCCCCACCCCCACCCCGGGCACGAGCAATATGAAAGCCCTATCTGTAATATTGTCACAAGGCAAAAAAAGAGAGAAATCCTCTGTAGTGTCTACATGTTAGAGCAGCCTGCTCATGACATTTGTTTTGTGATAATACTTCATATTCCAAATATTCCCCTGGTCCACAGGTCAGACTAGGGAAGTAGCACAGAGCGAGTGGGTGAGGGAGGAGGGCAGGGAGACAGGGGACCATTCGGTGAGGCCACAGCCTCAGGGAGCAGTTTACAATTATCTAGTAATCATCTGGCTCTGTGTACCTAGAGAAGTCCTCAGTTCTCAAACAGTCATTTTGAAAGGTTCAAAAGAACATTAGAACCAGTTAGGAAAAGTATCTTTGCCCCTTCATGAACAACCCTACAGATATGAACGGGCCCCTTAGGGAAGTTTCTAGAATGTGTTGGGAACTGCTGACTGGAAAGGGCTTTCAAAGAACTAGAAAACAAAACAAAATGTCAACAACCCCAAAATGTTTGAAGAAATGAATAGAATTATTACAGTTCTATTCATATAACAAGAAGCACAGACCTCAGGCAATTTCAGGACCGGTCAATTTTTTTTTTTGGCTTAACAGTACCATCAAAGAGCAAGTTCTGTCCTGGACTACCCCCACCCCCATCTTCAGTTCATTAGCCTGTATTCCTCATAGTCATCAAACAGCTGCACTATCTCCAGGCATCACATCCTCAACACAGCAGCTTCCAGAGACAGAAAAGATACTGGTATTTTCCTTGTATCTTAAGGTATCTTAAGATTAAAAAAAAAAAAAAGCCTCATGATGGTGTTACGATTGAATGAGTAAAGCCCCCTCAGGTTCCTATAGCTGAATGCTTGGTCTGCAATTGGTGGAACTATTTGGAAAGGATTAGAAGGTGTGATCTTGTTGGAAGAGGTGTCTCTGTGGGGGTGAGTTTTGATGTTTCAAAGCTCAAGTCATTGTCATTCCCACTTAATATGATCTCTCCCTCTCTCTGTCTCTCTCTCCTTGAGGTTGATAGCCCTCCCAGTATCTGAATTAGCTCTTTGAGCTTCCTGAGCTAGGAGAATGTAGCAAGCTCTCCAGCAAGCTGACTTCACAGACGGGGTCCCGACCACAAGACAACTTCCTGCTATACTGAGCTGTATCCCTTTAGACTGTGAGCCAGAGCAAACCTCTCTTCCTGAAGTTGTTTCTCTCCGACGTTTTGTCATAGCGATAAGGAAAGTAAGTGACACGTGTCCCTTTGTGGAATAATCCATGAAGCAAATGGCTGTTAGTGCCCCATTGAACAAAAGTTTAGTCAGCCATCTTTCCCCTGAACCAATTACTAACAAAATAAGTACTATTTTGAAAAACTAAGATTGTTGATTAGGTTGGGGCAATCCACCCCTAAAATATAGACTGGTGTCTGAATAGCACTCAAATTCTACTAGCAAGAAGATAGTAGAGGAGGCTTTATGCCCAAAGAATGCCCAAAGAACGCCCAATGTGTGTGTATGTGTATGTGTACTTGGCACAGGGGATTGAGCTTACAGCCCTACACATCCCAGCTAAGAACGATACCACCAAGCTACATTCCCAGCCCTCAATAAAGAGTTCTTGATTCCTCTCTATTTTGTTCTGCTTAAACCCCAGGACATTTGATTCACTGACTCCTACTGAGATAAACATCATTAAGCCACACGTACCAAAAACCCAGTTTCAATACATAAAACTGCTCAAGAGAGACAATATTCAGCAAAGAGTTTCTTGGAAGAGCTGCAGAATTGGCCCATAGCTTCAGGATGAAGTGACTTGCTTTTTACTAATTCAGTCAAATCATCTGTGTCCTACATCGAAATGCCACAGCAGCCTTAAACCAAAACATAAACCAAACTCCACTCACCTTCTCAGCGCCAGGCCAGAGAGAAGACCTGTATGATATGTGAAGCAAACGTATGCGTCTTTACCTATACGTCTGGCTCTCTATCTGTCACCTTTTATAACTGTCCACATTCTACGGGAGCTGTGATGTTCTCTGTGACATTTCCATTAGAGGAGCACAGGACTCCCTCCCACAGGATGGCTCTTGTCACATTGCCAGCTCTGCTCTGCCACACGTTTCATCCTCCAGTTTGACAAGCAGGCTCTCTCTAATGCAAGGAGCAGACAAATCAGCCATGGCTAACACACGAGGAAAGGGGATGTCTTTGGGGACCGTGGAATCAAGGTATGTTCTGCAGTTCTGGGGAGGAGAACTCATGGAGGCTGGTGGGAATAATGAATTTTGTGTGATGACACCCCTGCTGTCAGGGTTCATGAATCCGGTAAGAAAGTCTGATTGGCTGAGCTTAGATACAGGACTTTCTTGAAGCCACATGTGAGAGTGGATGGCTGTGGTGAACCAAAAATACAAGGAGGGCAGAGTTTTATTCTTTAATGGAAACTGAGGTTTCGCCATCAGAAAGGGGAAGTTGTTAGGGAGGCAGATACCCCACACCCACACACACACCCACACCCACACCCACACACCCACACCCACACCCACACCCCTATGTCCCCACCTTCACCCCTGGGAGCAAGAGCTACCAGAACTGGATGCCATTGCATAATCAACATATTTAGCAAAGACTGTAAGAATGTAACAAAGAAACAGGTTTTTTTTTTTTTTCTCTCATGTCTTTCTAAACTTGCTTGATGGAGTTGGCATGGTTGTAGGTACACACCCAGGAGGCTGAAGCAGGAGGATTATGAGAAGGGCTAGCTTAGACCACATAGCCAGACCTGGTCTCAAAAAACAAAATCAGTGGGGCTGGAGAGATGGTTCAGTGATTAAGAGCACTGGCTGCTCTTCCAGAGGACCTGGGTTCAATTCCCAGCACCCACATGACAGCTCACAACTGTCTGCAATTCCAGCTCTAGAATCTGACACCCTCACACAGATAGACATGCGGACAAAACACCAATGCACATAAAAGAAAAATAAACAAAACTATATATAAAAAAAAAAAAACAAAATCAGTAATAAACAAATGAATTGGAACACCTTTCTGTTGGAGGAAATCTGCACCCTGTTTTAGAATGTTAAACTCTACTCAATTCTCTATAACAAAACATCCTGTAATTACCCTAAGGTGCAAACTCAGTCCTAAATTCAATCATAGAATTACAGCAGTTAATCCTGTTAGCACTTTGTTCTCCATTCAAAAATGATTCCATTTCCCAAGTGGGATGAGAGGCAGCAAGCTGTCTGCTTTAACTCCCTTCTCTCTCCTGCTCACTAGCGAAGAAAGGATGGAAGGGAGGAGTTTATGGTGTTTGCTTGACTGGTGCTGTCATAATATGGCCTTGAATTCTCACTACACAAAGGATGCTCAAATCTGGCTGTCTTATGGATACTTTTGTGTACTTGGAACCATCTCATTTTTCACTAACGCGTAATAATTGTACATGTTTATGAGGCAAAGAGTGTGTGCCACAAACACACTATTTAGTGCATAATGATCCAATCAGAGTAATTGCCAGAGCCATCTCCTCAAACATTTCTCCTTTCTTTTTGGGAATACTCAGATTCCCCTCTTCTGCTATTTTGTAGCTCCTTGGCTACTTTGATGGCATTGATATTAATTTACACATAGTCTCAACTGTCATACAGTGGGTTCTCAGTATTTGTTAAGACACTGTAGCCTTGCCGTTTGGCTGTCAGCTCATTTCAACTCATGGCTCATTAGAATTTATTTGTTTACTCTACTGAGACGGTTCTATTTAGTCTCCAACTGTCATCCTTCTGCTCCAGTTTCCCAAGTACTGGGATTACAGGTATGCACTTCCACAGTGAGCTCTCCCGGCTATTGGACACAGACAATAATGGTTAATCTGCTCTACTGTGATAAAGAATATTAGAACATGCTTCATTTATTTACCTGTAACCAAGTGCCCCAAAAGCAACTTACTCCATCCTTCCTTCCCTTTACCTTTCCCACACTACCCATTCCCTACATCTATGCTATCAACTGTTTTAGCCTTTGCATATGAGTGAGATCTCATGGTATCAATGTCTGGGGCTGGCTTCTTTCACTTAACATGATGCTCTCTAGGCTCATCCACGTGGTTGCAACTGACAGGCTTTTACTCTTCTTCTTTTGCTCTTTATATATATCACACTTTCTTTATCCATCCATTAGTTGATGGTCACTTAGATTGCTTCCACGTATTGGCTGTTGGGGTAGTGCCGCAGTGAGCATGGAAGTGAGGACATCTTTTGACACAGCAACTTCACTTCCTTGGGATGTACTTCTGCAAGTGTGACAGATGCAAGGTGTGTTGTTATTTTTTGAGGAATGTCCATACTGCTTTCTGTAGTGGCTTTGCTAATTCTGCTGGCGTGTTTGAGTCCTCGCTCTGCATCTTTGCTGGCAGTTTTCCTTTTTTTTTCCGCCTTCATGATGACTGTCATTCTTACTGGGGTGACATGATGTCTTACCACAGTTTTGCTTTGCCTTTCACGGATGGTTAGTGAAGTTTAGCATTTTCCACCTACCTGTTGGCCATTTATGTGTTTTCTTTTGATGATACCTATTCAGATCATTTGCCCATTGTTCAGTTGGATTGTTTGCTTTTTAACTGTTGAGATGTTTGAGTGGCTAATATATTCTGGATATTAATTCCTTGCTGAATGAATAGTTTGCAAATATTTTCTCCTATTCTGTGGGCCATCTCTTTGCTCTGTTGATTATATGCTTTGCTGTGAAGAAGCTTTATAATTTGATGGAAGCCCATTTGTGTTTTTTGGCTTTTGTTGCCTGTGCTCATAAACAACAACAATAAAATTTCTCCCATTCCAACATTTCACATATGCTGAACAGACAAAGCAAGAGTCAAGACTCAAATGTAACTCTGCCTGAGGCCCAGGAGAAGTGTATCTGATAGAGAAATTCAAAGTTACATCCCCATATGGCAAACAAAGGCTCCCAGTTTTCTTTCCCTAGGTTCTCGGTGTCAGGTTAAATGGCTTGCCCAACATCATACAGCTGAGCTGAGGTGGAAGAGAAAAGAGAAAATAAAGGTTTAGGGTATGGAAGTCAGCCAACCCCAAGTGTGTGCTGCATGACTCTCTTCTCTTCACGTTCTTCATTGCTGCCCCAGGTGATGCCTCTTTTAGGGGCCTCCTGAAGCTGGGTGCTCTTAGAAGGATCCTCTCTGGTTAACTGAAGCGTTACTATAGCAACAGTAACACCAAAAACCAGAATAGCAGGTAGAGATTTCACACCCACAGACTCAGGTGTACAAACATGCAACTCCATTTTCTTAGAACTCAAGTTAATTCCTGACCTCAAGCCTTTGTTCTGCTTAATGCAAGAAATGTTATTCCGGGCACTCTCAGGCACATTCAACACAATCCAGTCTTTCTCAGCCAGTTTTGATTTAAAAGTTACTGGCTCAGGATGATTTCACCTTCCCCGGAAGTGGGGAGTAGGGTCGTGAAATAAGGGTAGTAACAGGCTGAAGTCCTTTGGGTCTTAGAGGTTCGCTAAGCTGACGTATGGGATACCCTTAAATGGAGAAGGCACTGTCCTGGTGCTGGGTTGTGGTCATAGCCCAACAAGACTCCCTGTGGGGACAGTCCTCAGCACATTTCTCTTGGCTTGATCCTCTCATCCTTCCTCTGGCTTTCTTGGTCAATTCACAAGCACAAGGCACACCTCCCATGTCACTCCCAGAGTGGAGAAAACCCAGAGTTGTTTCCTGTCCCCTTGCCTTTAGGACAACATAAGCTGGGAGAGAGGAAAACCAAAAGTCAAGATCTGAAACACTGGGCCAGCAAGGTGGCTCAGTGTGTAAAGGTGCCTGCCACCAAGCCTGGAGACCTGAGTTCGATTCCCGTGTTCCACAAGGCAGAAGGAAAGAACCAGTTCCAGTAAGCTGTCCTGTGGCCTCCACAAGTGTGGTAAGACATAAAAATAGATAAACAACGGTAATCAATCTGGTTGAAAGATCTCAAGGGTTGCTTGCTTTGTGTGAGCCACTTCACTCGATTCAGCAATACCTAGGGGATTGATGAAGCACACTTCTGGGGGTGGCTGGGACAGCATTTCTTGTAGACAGATGACACAGATGTCTACAGAGCAGGAGCTGACAGGTAAAAGCCTGATCAAAATGTAGAGGGCACCATGAAAAGCAGCAGAAAGCAGTCTGGTGACACGCAGGCTCACTCTCTGTCTCTCTGCCTCCTGCCCACCACAAGGGAGCAGCTTATAACTCTCCCGTGGCTCTTGCTTCCAATGCTCCTCACAGGCCGGTAGCAATGAAGCCAGCCAGCTGATCACAGGCTACAACTATAAATCCAAAGGAATCTTTTTTCCTTTTCAGTTTGCTTCACTCCACTCCAGTATTTGTCACAGCAGTGGAAAGCTAACACATAGATCGTATGTGTGTACCTTGTTTTCCCCAAGGTAATGTTGTTTCTCATTTCCAAGTTTAACTCTACCATGTCCACCAGGTCTTTGATCTTCCCACCAGGTCTCTGCTTTATTGGACTCATCAAAGAGACACGGAGCACTTTCTGCTCACCTTAGAACTTCACAAATATACAATTTTGGGCACTGTCATAAATGGGCCAAGCTGAGACAAGGCCATCGCTGCCAACCATCTTTGCTCCCTCAGCCATGGCCTACTAGAACCAGGGCCTGTGACTCTTCTCACAGACCATCTCAGCCTCTGCCCAGCATCATCCTTCATCCTCTTCCATTCCTGCATCCCATTAACCCCACCAAGTAGCTGGTACCTTTGTCTTATTTTACTTATGTACATAGATGTCTGTTTTAAGACCTGTTTGACTTGCCTTGAATAGTTTTTTTGGAAATAGTGAGGACTAAAGCAAAACCGTAAGAAGAGCACTATTATGGTCTTTTCTGGTTCCAGCGACTAGAACTACCACATTATGCAAGTGGTGAATGATCCTCCGTCTCCAGATTGCTTTCATTGTTTGAAGTCTCTGACATCCGTCTACCTCTCTTAGTCAGTTATCCTAGTTAGGCAACAGGAAGAAAAAGAATCAGACTGTTGTGTTGTCTATGGCATCCCAGGCTCTGTGTTGAAGACGTATATCATCTCATTGGGACATCCCAGATGTATAGGGTCCTAGATGGAAGCCCAGCCATATTTACCCTAAGACTGCGGAATAACGGTCAACAAGGATGTAGGAATTGGCTTCAGCCTCCTGTTGGGAGTTGGGGGGGGTTGCTTTTCTGTAATTGGGGTGGGAATCCACACAGAAAAGAGGAGTTTTCCACTAACTCATTCGACACATATTGATTGAGCTTTTACTGTGCATGAAACGCTGCGCTACGCACCGGGGTACCGCTGCCGCCAGGACTCGGCTGAAGTATTTGCTAGAGCTTGTAAGCATTACGAGGAGGATTTGGGGGCAAAGCTTCGAGTCCTACCAGCTAAGAAAATAAAGCGCAAGAAATCAGCTTTGTGATTTTTTTTTTTAAAGTTTCTCCTTTTACTCCCAAGCTAAGGGGGCCTGGTCATGTTGGACCCAGGGGAGGTAAGACATTGCCTCAAGTTTACTGATGCAGTAACGAGTTATTCTCCAACGACCTCTCAGTCTCCCACCCTGTCCCTGTCCACTACATGGAATCAAAGAGTCTTGGGGTTCTCATGCATTTATCACTTTGAGCTCTGTTCTTGTATCTTTGTTTTTGTTTTTGTTTTTGAGACAGCGTTTCTCTGAGAAATAGCCCTGGCTGTCCTGGACTCACTTTTGTAGACAGGGCTGGCCTTGAACTCAGAGATCCACCTGCCTCTGCCTCTCGAGTACTAGGATTAAAGGCATGTGCCACCCAGCTGGGTGTTTTTGTGTCTTTTCAAAGGGGTTGGGCTAAAGGGGTTAAACCCCCTATGGTTCTTGGATTATCTGCAAGTCTCCCACTATTGACTCTGAATAAAAATAAAATCTAACTCTAGTTACACATATAAGTTTCCTTTCTGGACAACGGGCTCTAGGCAAACCAGTTTCCTCCTCACTACCCTTGAAAGCAGCAGACCTTCTTCATTTCCCACCCTTTCACAGGCCCTCCCAAGGGAAACCAAGAACACTCAGCTGAGCATCACTCGCTCCAGTGCTCTCTCCGCTGCTGAGGAGATGTGCCCACTGCTGCCTTCCCCACCGCCGACCTTCAAAGTGGACGTCTGTCTGCCTCCCTGGGTAGCCGTTTCCAACTCTGACATTCATCTTTCCAGACCCCGCGTGAATCCATTTATATTTCCCTCAGGTCCTACATCTTGAAGTAATGTGCTCCAAGAGTTTATTACCCATTTCTTTTATTTGTTCTAGCTGTTCCTTGATCATCTTCCCCTCCAGCGAGTACTTGGCTGGCCTGAGTCCGTGTTCACCTTCTCTCTGTTATTGATAGCCTGGCTGGGTCCCACCCTGCCCTTGCCTGGTCTCGGAAGTATTCATAACCTTTGCGGCTTGTGGCCCTCAGCCACTCTAGCTGGTTCTTTCTCTTCCTTCTCCAGGGTCAGGGATAGGCATGGGTATGGCCATTTTGGGTGGTTCTTACCCCTTGCTGACAACTGACATGTTTTCTGAGCATTTGAAGTTGTGTTTCAAACTCATGTCCTGGGAGCTGGAAATAATTCCAAACACTGGTTCCTGGATCTTGATAGAGGCACCAGTCAGGGTTTGGATTTGTTTATTCTTTTCTTTCTTTCTTTCTTTCTTTCTTTCTTTCTTTCTTTCTTTCTTTCTTTCTTTCTTTCTTTCTTTCTGTTTTTCAAGACAGGATTTTTCTGTGCAGCCTTGGCTGTTCTGGACTCAATTTGTAGACCAGGCTGGCCTCAAACTCACAGATCTCCCCGCCTCTGTCTCTCGGAGTAATGGGATTACAGGCGTGTGCCTCCGTGCCCAGCTGGATTTGTTTATTCTTAAGCATACTTTAAGCCACTTTAAGCTTAGTGGCCCCTTTCAGCCAATGTATACAAACTCAGTTGATAGCAATAAAAACTAACATTTAGTACAATTTTTGAAGCATCCCAGGTTCAGCTTGTGTTGTCTATCTCAATCCTTCCTACAACTTAATGGCTTATTAGTGCCAAATTTTGAAAATGAGGAAATTGGGGAACGAAGGGATTAAGTAGTTTGATCAGCACACAGCTGGCAAATGGCAGTGCCTGGAGGGAAAGCCAGGGAGACTGATATTTTCAGCCTTGATGCTCTGAGCCCTCACTCCTGGCCCTAGGTGAGAGTCACCTGGGAGCTTTGGAAAAGGCAAGACATTTCTCATCCACACTTGTGTAAAGGGTGAGCTCTTGCCTCTGAACATCGAATCTCTGCACCTGGAGATACTGAGGTGGGAGATACTGGAATTGGAGGCTCACCTGGACAACATAGTGAAATCTTGCCTTAAAAAGAAAGAAGGAAAGAAAGAAAGAAAGAAAGAAAGAAAGAAAGAAAGAAAGAAAGAA